GTGCATATGTACAGGGATATATATGAATATGCTAGCAGGGTATTTACAGTAAGAACAACATTAACAGATTGAACGGAGTGAGGTGAAGATATATACAGCCATTAAGTTAAGATATTTACAGTATGAACAGATTAGCAGTAAATTATATAGTGTGGATGTAAGTACAAGTATTAAATTGGTTGACATTATACATTGTATACTGTATATACCACTATATATATCCATGTACTTCAAGTACAAACCTTATTTCAGCATCCTCTGCACCATTGCACTATTGTCTACACATCTTATTGTTTTGTTTATACATATATGTACTGTATATACTGTACAAAGTAGTTTATGTCTATTTTGTTTAGCTTGTTTATTTATGCTTATGTGTGCACCAATAAAAGTGATTCTAATGACTCAAATATTAAAATCAGAATCAGAATCAGAATCAGAAATACTTTATTAATCCCAGGGGGAAATTACTTTCGTTATATGACCGACAGATGTAATAGACAAACAATATATTAAAATATAATTTAAATGTACAGTTTAAAGTCACACTTTCAAATGTGCAAAAATGGCAAAAAAGAATTGTACAATAATATATTTCTACCATACAACCATTTTATAGCTACTGACAGTAAATAAAGCTTCAAAAATAACTTTTACTTGCAGTTTATGGACCCTACATTACAGACATTACGGTAATTGAACGGATTTTATATATTTATATGTTTTGCTTTGCTGTATATGAGAGTCATTACGGTAACCACACGGAAGTGGACAGTGTCAAACATGGCGCTGTCCTGTTCGAGCCTGTGCAAGCATTTGTCTTTGATCCGTCTGTGTGGTCTCCGGACAAACAGCATAACAAATGTCCTTTATTCCCCCCGTGTGTCCTATCAGTCCAGGTATTTATACATCTCTTTATAAAGGTCCTTTTCTTTGTGTACTCTGGAAACCGTTGAAGCTATCTGCATGTCTGGATGAGCTGCACCGTTTAACATTTAATCACATTAATGTCTTTATGTTGTATTTAATTATTTAATTTGTGCTTTTCACTGCTATTAGTGCATGTCCAGAACAAAACTACCAAGTTATCTTTAATATATCCAAACATCAGGAACTGGAGGTTGATCATTCCCTGTGTTTTACTCAGTTTAAAGTCCTGACAGATGTTTTTTTTTTAATGATTATTATTGAGGAGTTATGTTTATTCTGCTTTACAGGTTGCCCCTGTGTAGATACTACTCCTCGTCCAAAGTTAGACGAGGTATCGGTCGATATGTCTCCTCCAGGCTCCAGAGGGCAAATAGCAAATATGAAGGTTTCCTCAAAAGGCGATTTCCCAGATTTTTCCAGCTCTACCACACTTTTGTGGAAGGTAAGTCCACTGTTGTCTCACCTCTGAGGTCCTCCAGCTGCAATGTCCAAAGAGCAGAAGCTGTTGTGATGAAGTACTGAAGCTCTGGTCAACAAATCTTGTTCTCCAGATGTAAGAAAGCATGTTTGTTTGGGATAGATCCCCCCCCAAAAATGTCACATCATCATGATTTTAATTAGGGCTGCACAATTAATCTAAATATCCCAGAAGCTACAATTAATTTAATAAAGGTAAAATATGAAAAAGCATGCAGAGTTTTAATGAAGTATTGTAACTCTGGTCAACAAATCTTGTTCCGCAGATGTTTGTTTGGTACAGACCCCCGAAACGTTTCATTTTTGATGCAAAAATCACAAGTTCCACACAAATTGTGTCAAAATAATCACAATATGATGTTTCTGCCGTGTCATGCAGCCTTAATTTTAACAGTGTTTTTCAGTGAAAATGCGTCATTCCCAGTAATTGTGAAAGTATATCGCAATATGTGTCAAAACAATAGGATTATTATGTTTTTACCACAGGGTGTAGATCTAGTTATATACTGGAAATACTTTCTGTAAATGTCTGCGGTTGTGTTAGATATTTTTATTTATTTAAAACTACATACTGGTTCTTTTGTTGGTTTTATAGCTACATGTTTTTTAAAAAAGTAATTAAAGTGTAAATCTCAGTGAATTATAGGCTGTAGAAACATGAGCACAATGTCAAATTACTGTGTATAAATATAAATTTAGAAGATAAAATAAGTTATGTGGTGCACGTTTGGACAAAAGTTTATTTTCTTGGTTACTGCAGACCATAATTTATTTAACTTCATTAAAATAAACCTAATATTCATGTAAATTTAGTGTAATGACAGTCACCGTGTAACGTAAATATATCAAAAATTAAGCAGTTTTGTCATTTTGTGGCACCACGGACTGTACAAGAAGTCAAAGGGGGTACAAATGTTTACATGGGACTGTACAGGACTGTGGCTCAGTTGGTGGTTTGATTCCCAGCGTCTCCTGTTCACATGTTCACAAAGTGTCCATGAGCAAAACACTGAACCTCATTTGCTCCAGACAGCCAGGCCTGCACCTTGCATGGCAGCTACACCCCCATCAGTTTATGTAGAGTGGTTCTATAAATGCAGCCCATTTTCATCCACATTTTCATCATCATAAACATATTTTTTCTCACTGAATCATTCCAGGATTCAAGCTGCTGTTCCAAGATGCCAGAGATGTGAAGAGGATAAAAATGAAGATGGTCTCTGAAAGACTACAGTTCCAGGATTTGCCCTACAGAGAGATGGAGAAACTCAGACAGGTGGGGTCTATTTACTGAACCACACACAGAGAACTGGGTATTTGCCTGGCCAGATTTGTTAATTATTGGGTGAATCAGATTAAATCAGATGCTTAAGTAGAGTAGTTTTCCTTACGGGTCATCAGTTTCATTTAGGAACTTGTCGTTGTTTAATTTCCGGTCTGTAATGTTTATTATCTCATAGTAACTTTACCTACTTCACTTTTGTTTTGCAGTTTCGCAGAAACGTGGTCAAGGCATTTCCACTGGTGGTGATATCCATCCCTCCTTTTGCCAACTACCTGGTTTTTGTCCTCATGTGAGTTCACTTTAAAATAAGCATGTTTTTTATTTTTTATTTACACCCTTTGTTTCATATTCTGTGATCATTAAATAAATACTCCTTGTCCTACATTGTATTGAGTCTTCCTTCCTGTCCTGTGCCTGTTGATACATATTTTCCCATCACCCCCTGTGTCTCTCCTCTCTCTGCTACCATCCTGTCTGTTCACTGCCAGGTACTTTTTCCCCCGCCAGCTCCTGATTCCTCATTTCTGGACTCCCAGGCAGCAGGTGGAGTTTCAGGCACTGTACCACTCTCTTAGGGCCCAGCACCACTGGCCAGTTCTCAAAGGGCTCGAGAATACGAGCCGCCAGGTCAAAGACGGTCAGCTGCAGCACCGCCTTACGGAGCTGTGCGCTAAAGTAAGTGAACACATCCAAACTATTAGTTTGCACAGATACAGAACGGGTTGTATGTTCTTCTTTCACACATATAGACGACATTTATAACTATGCTTCAACATTATGGAGCAAAAAATTTACATTTGCTTTACATAAGATGACTGATCATTTGTATGCAAAGAGTCTAATTTATCTATTTCTTCTCCTGACCAGGCTAACATACAAACTCCTAGTGGTAGACGGGTAAAATATCTGTATAATTACAGATTCACAAACCCCAACTCTACTGTCAACCATCTAATAATGGATGTAAAATGTGAGACATGATGAGGGGCCCCAACAAGAGACTGCTTCAGAGGTCAAAATCTTTGTCAATGAATAATATTTCATGTCATGTTTTTATGTTAAATCTTAATTATGAAAAGTAACTAATAACTATAATAGGTGACTGCCTCTCGAAAATGTTGAGGAGTTGAAGTATGACGAGTACGCATCTAATAATAATACTCAAGTAAAAGTACATGTTACTACAAAATTGTACTTAAGTGAAGTACTTGAGTAAATGTTTACTTCCACTACTGAATGCGGTCGACATAGTCTGACCCTGACACTCCTTCTCAAACAATGCACTTTTAACTCCGCAACTATACTGGAAAGATTTTCAAATTCGTTTTTCACAGAAATACACCAAAACCTAAAAATGACAAAATGTTAAGCCATAATATTTCATATAACTCTGAAACGCACATATGTCTCCACCGTTCTCAATATACAAATTGATTAGTATCATAATAGGATATATAATAGTATATATAGTTGTTCCTACATGAACAATAATTGTCATTCAGGTTGAATACATTATTTGCCTTTTAAAACTGGTGATTGCTTTGGTTGGACGGTCTACTAGATGATTTCCTTTGACATTATAAGTTGTTACTGCTAAGATGTTCTATCAGCTAGTATTAAAATATACAATGTAGTTGCCAAGGAGCTCAACCACTTCACACATAAACTTTAGTGAATGCATTTACAAACAGTTTTGTTTGTTCCCCTCCCACCCGACTTCAGCTATTAACTGTATGGAGCGTTTTCACACCTGATTGTATATATATAATATATATCGATAAGTGGGAGTAAACTGACTTTCTGTACATTTTCAGGTGCAAAATGGAGAAAAACCTCCAAAGTGGGTCTGAAATCCTTTGCCGTTCGGGCCTTGTTCTCTGGACCCCCTCCTGGGTATAAAAGATGGATGAGCGTGGGATCACATGGTCGTGAACATCCCTCCACTCTTCATCCTGTACACTGAAACCTCCCTCCAAAAACTCTGTTGACATGAAATACCGTTAAAAAAGGCTTTGTGAACACCCTGAACACCCAACCCATTATCTCTTCTGTCTGTTGTCATGTCGAACCAGAGACACATCAGCCCCCTGCTCTTCCTGACCCCCTCGCCTCCCGGTTCTGATTGCGGCGGGCATGAACAGCCAGGCTGGACCATGCTCCAAGCTGGACCAGCGCCCTGCCGGCTGGGCCCCAACCCAGCTGAGTGACTCCGAAACCTCAGAAACAGGGTCAGTCGTCTGCACAACGTGGCAAATTTTGAATTTACTGCAAATTTATTATGATTAAAAAGTGTGTATTCAATACGTACTTCTGTTATAAATATCAATGCTTTTCTCTTTTGCAGGCTTGTTACATAAGGGGGCTCCATTCTAATAATCTTGGCTTCAACCAGTGGTCGGTTCGAGTGGTTTATCCCAGTGGCTTCAGGTGTCATCCTCACTGAAGGTATTTTCTTTTGCTTTGCAGTAATTTTCTGTAATTTTTGTTAAACGTCAACGACATCTCCGTTGACCATTTCTGTTTTGTCTAATGTATAAGGAACAGTTTAAATCTTGGGAAGACATGTATTTTCGCTTTCTTGCCCCAGAGTTAGATGAGAATACCAGTCTGTATATTGGTAAAGTGTGGTATGGTTAATGTGAAGCTTACAGCCAGTGGCTCATTAGCCTTAGCAACTCAAACAAGTAGCCTGGTTTCAGACTGAAGGTAAGAAATTCAGCCTAAATTAGAGATAGTAAAGTAAAAAACTAAATAACTATATAGCTGTCTGTGAACTGCCTCTTGAAAATGTTGAGGAGTTGAAGTATATGAGTGTCATCTAATATAAATATCTCAGTAACAAGTAATGTTACTCAATGTGTACCTTAAGTGAAGTACTTGAGTAAATGTTTACTTTTCACCAATGAACATGGTCGACATATCTGACCTGACACTTCTATCAAAATGCACTTTAATGAAGCTAACTGGAAAGATTTTAAATTAGTTTCACAGAATACACCAACACCTCGAAATTGACAAAATTGTTAAGCATAATATTCATCATAATCTGAAAACCGCACATATGTTCCACGTTTGAATTATACAAATATTAGTATATAATCAAGGATATATTTATTGGTAAATAAAGGATATATTTTTAATAGTATATATAGTTGTTCCTGAACATGTAACAGAAATATATGTCATTTCAAGTTGAATACATTATTTGCCTTTTAAAATGGTGATCTGCTTTTTGGTTGGACGGTGCTACAGATTGATTTCCTTTGCACATATAAGTTGTTACTATAGCTAAGATGTTCTAAGGCTAGTATAAAACTATCAAAGTAGTTGGCCAAAGAGCTCCAACAACTTCACACATAAAACTTAGTGATGCAGTTTACAAACAGTTTGTTTTGTTCCCTCCCACCACTTCAGCTATTACTTGTATGTATTTTGTATGGTCAAATTAAGTAGATAAAGTAAAATTCTCCTTTATAAATGCTACAGATATGAACTTAATATCAGTCTTTCTCATCTAACTAAAATGTTCAACTGTTTTCTTAAACCTTCCTATTGCATGTCTAAAATGTAAGATATTTCTATGCCCTCTTTGTTTATTTTTTTTGCAGACTCAGAGGTGTCACTGCTTTTGCACAGCATTTGTATTTCCTCTGCCAACTAAACCCGACCGGTCCAAAGCCGACACTGGACAGGAAGCCTGAGCAATCTCGTCTTCCTGATTATATGGCTCTCATCTGAGGACTGGCAGCAACAGCTTCCTGAGGCTGTCAACGTCTCGTTATGCCAAGGAAAAAAACAAATTCAAAACTGCTTCTTTTTCGAAGATTTTGGGATTAATTAAAAATATAACCCTCTCAGCCCAAAACCTCAAAGCAGGTTTGCAGTCAAGAAATAATCCCATTAATTCTAGATCCTTTAAAAGTCCCATGTTAGTTATGAATACCTAAGAATATAAAAAGAAACATTACAGTTAAAAGATTTCTTCGTTAACGGTGGTTAAAAAAAAAGGTATGAAATCTATTGTGTCTTTATCAAGGGGAGTATGTGGGATATTAACTATTAATTAGCAAGATAACTTAAAAAATCTTGCGTAGAGGAGTTCTCATGTACTTCCAGCCCCTCCACAAGGGAACTTAACTCATTTGATGCCTGTGAGTTTAATATTAATGGGTGGATGTTTAAGGAAATAGCTGATTACCCGTCGCTTTAATCTCAAGCTTGTCGCCAACTAAAAAATAAAACGCAGACTCGTCGATATGTTTACTTATACAGCTAATGCTATCATTACAACAGCTACAAAACAGGCAGGGAAACACAAATAGGATGTTGTTTATAAAGGCTCAGATTCTAATATTTCACTTGTGAATGGTAAAATAGTTCAAACCATATCCATTCCATTTAAAAACATACAGATAAATAGTTACTTGTTCAACTTTTATCTATCTCACACAGATGGATACCCATTCTGTCTCCCTTCTAAAATGACCGATAGCTGGAGTCCTAGCAAAAAAGTATTTTAGGAAGGAAATAGTTTTTTGACTAAATAACGAACAATTGGTCACATCCAAATTCTATAAGATTACAAAAAGCACCTTCTTAGACGAAAAAAAAAAGAATCTTGATAGAGATTGGAAAGAAAAAAGCCCAATTATTACTTGCAAAGACATTTCAAGCTTGTGTGTGTGAGAGAAACTTTATTTTATGGATGCCCGAAAACCTTTTTGGGGTTTAACAGCTGCATGAAAAAAAGAAGTTGTGATGGCACTATTATTGTTTACTTGATGTTTTCTTTGCTTTGGAGGCTTAAAATTACATTGACACATCCTGATCAGACCACACTTCGAGCTTCAATTCAAGCTTATTTTTTTTAACCAACTTCAGGTTACCAGTAAGAGGAACTGGACATCGACATCCCCCCCGCCCCCCCCCCCCGTGTGCTGCTGTTTGCTGTTTGCTGTTTGTATTGGTAAATAGGAAATGTCATTTGCTTCCTGCGCCTTTTCGCAAGAACTGGCACAATATATCTGAAATATTATTTGCAAAAGTTCTGTTCTGTTTATGGTTTATTTTAAGACATGATGTTATTTGCTCTTCAGGTTTTGAATCTTGTATTGCTGTGCCAATATTATACACATTGTAATGGAACTGTGTCTGAAATAAATTATGGTGCATTGATGTCCCCCTGTTTGTGTTTACCCTTAAAGCAAATGCAGATGTAATTGAAACAGTCTTTAATAAAAACAGAACAAGCATAGTAGTGTGTTAGAAATCCTTGCCACCAATAAGAACAATAAAGCGCCGTTTAGAATTCTTAAGCTAAAATGAGTATTAAAGTGACGATATAACCTATGAAAAAAAAATCCAAAAAGAGAAAATATATTGTTCTGTATATTTTATCTGGAGTATAGGACGAAAAACGATGAACAATGAAGCTCCCAACACGTGTGATCTGAACAACCGGCTCCTGCCTCGGGGCAGGAAGCTGAATCACATGACTTCGTAGCCGCTGCGGATGCCTCTCATCAAACAGCAGGCGAACACAATGCCCATTATCTGGAAGGAAAACAATCACGCACAAAAGGGAGAGGACATTAGTGTTTCCGAGTTATGTGACTGACATATAATAAAATCTTAATTTATATCCTGTAGCACTTTTAAAAAGCCAAGTTGAGAAGTATTTATAAGACAGAAGCAAGATAAAACCACCAGATATGACAATAAAAATGCAATAACGCAGATCAAATTGAATAAGAATTAAATATTATTAAGTTAAAATGACTAATTAATACAAAAACAGTAACGCTCATTTTAGAAGGAAATTAAGTAGTGTCTGGAGAGATAATGTTTCTAATGCGACCGGGTTTTTTGTTTTATTGATGTTACGTACCTGCAAGAAAGCAATAACAAGGGCTGCAACTATCACCCACAGGAGGTTTTTCTTCAGTAAAGCCTCCACAGCATCATGGCAACCCTAGAACATCAAAAAAGAGAGAAAAGTTAGATTCAATCTTGTTGTTGTTTGAAGTCCCACACACCCCAATGCAGTATGTGTAATAATAATAATAATAATAATAATAATAATAATCATAAAATGAACAATATTATTTCCCTTTTCTTCTGACCTTATTAAAACCTGATATGTGGCAAAGCATTAAAGTGGTAACCCTTCACTTTTTGTCACAAACCTGCACATTTATATTGTCATAAAGTATTGTTAAAATTGCTGTTATTACACCAAATATTATATAATTCACATATTTATTTGTAAAATGGGCTATGCATAAACAAATATATTCCTTTTTGTTTGCCAAATGTTTGGGGTCGGTATAATTTACATACAGGACTCACATACTGTTTGTACACTAAGGATTAGTATTTTTTTTTTCAAAAATGAGACATTTTCTATTCTGGGAACAGAAGCACACTAGTGTCCCGGGAATCCTGGGAACCGCACTCGTTCTAAGGTTGAACTTCGGCTGCGGTCAAAACGCATTGGTCACATTTCAAGCAACGCTAAATGCAACAAGGAGAAATATGCACGAACCTGTGGCCTCCCAACCTGACCGCTATGGTGTATTATTTTGGTGCTGGTAATATTTATGAAGGCAAAAGAAATCCATTTACATAAATCATCATTAGAATGAAGATAATATTAAATTAAACTGCACTGAAGCTTTCGAGATTATAAAATGTTCATTGCTTCATGGAAGTGATATTTGACAATTATTCATTGTACAGCCTGAATCAACTAAATTTGTTAAAACAAGTAATTTGGCGTTTTCAATGTCATTCAGTTAAGCTGAGGCGGTTCTAGGGTCACCGCCCGGTCAATCGGGTCTGATATGCGTCTCTAATGTCCCGGCTCAGTGGAGTCTTGTGCTTATTCAGTTCATCCATCACGGACAAAAAAAATCCATCTTCACTGGTTTCAGGCAAGAAGTGAGCTGTTTTATATCTACTGTAACAATGTTTGTCTCACAGCAGCAGCCTCTCAACACAGTGTCTCTCAGCTTAACAGAATTCAGTGTTTCCTCTAGGATTGTTTTTAGCAGTGGGTATTCCCGGGAATCTCGTTTATCAGGAATAAACCCTGGTGTACACACAGAGCCACAGTGTTATCCCAGTGGAGACGCTGCTTCTGTCTAATATTTACTTTCCTTCTAGTTCTGGTTTGGTGTCTCTTTAGCTTGGTTGACGTTGGACCTTCTCCAGAGACGAGTCGTTAATTTACCATTTGGTGCTGACAATGACCGGCTGTTGTTGGAGACTGACAGTGTTGGACTGCGACTTATACTTCACACTTCAGCCGATATTTGACCAGCGCTGATATATCTGAATCGGTGTGTATGTCTGCTGATATTTGAAATGAGATACTCTTGAGGGAATTTAGAAACAGTGACAAGTTTATCATCTGTAAAATGTACTGCTTATTATTCAGCTCTGTAAAAAACTAATTCATGGGATTGTTCCTGTAATCAGCCTCTGTTTACAAATCAAACCCTACATTTCCTACCGCTGCTGCGTCACATTAAAATAATTCAACTGTGTATTATCAGTCACAGAAAACACTGTATTTGTCACAGAGGTTAGCGCTGATTGAGAGGATTTTACTCTGCCCTGATGTGGAAATGTGTGGTGTGGAAAACTACCCGCACTCCATGCAGCAAGAAATCAGATGGTAGTTGCTCAAGGCATGACAGGAAAAGGCTGCTTTATCGAAACAACTTGAGTTTGTTTGTCTGTTCTGTAAGATTTTCTTCTGTTTTTGGGAAATAGTAGCTACTCAACAAGTGTTTGCTGTAGGACTAAATCACACTTGCATGGGTGTCACCAAATCAACCAGAACTGAAATCAGAACCAAAAAAAAAAAAGGACCAGAGTGGAGAATTTAGTGCCATCTAGCGGTGAAGTTGCTTCTTCAACTAACTGAACCTTGCCGGTGTCTGTATTTAATGACCTGGGAAAGAGAACGGGCTGTAAAGTGTTTAGGAGGCATTATATTAAATTTCTGCCAACAGATCCTCCTAAATGTTACCCACTGGACCTTAAAGGATTCTCATTTGAACTAAATCTCATGTTCAGTGACTTCGCAACAACATATCGACCACTGGGAGTTTACCTTCTGGTACACTTTGGTAGCGTCCGTCATGGTCCCGACTCCACAGCGCTTGGTGACATTCACACAGCATGAGTCAGGCACGGAGTTTCCCTCAGAACTGAAGGTTTTCCAGTCAGAAGAACTGTTCACGCCACAGCATTTCAACTGGAAGTGCAAATGAGTCAACATTTTTTACGACGAATGACGAACAGAAAAAAGGGATATATACTTGTGTCAACAGATGGTGCGAAGGAAAACAAAGTCGTGTCCTACAGGAGCGACCAACAGGATACAGCACTGTTATGTGAAGGTGTTGTCAGACTAAGTAAACAGAGTGTAGGAGAGTTTACACTGAACTCACCTCCTCCTGCAGTTTATCCACAGTGTCTTTGAATTCAGCTGTGCCGTTCTCGTAATGCGTAATCATTTCAGCGAGACTATCCTGGACGACACCTGAGAGCTAAGGTGGGTAGACACGACACGGAAAAGCCACGTTAAAACCACACCGTCTTTATTAAACACACGCGGAAAAAGTTAAATTCTACACTCACTTTGTTCCTGAAGACGTATCCAGCGATTGCTGCTGCAATCTCAACAATGATGATCAGTGAGAGAAAGATGGCAAACTGAGGGGGAAAAAGAAATTAAACATATTCAAGTCACTTAAACGACCGCGAGTGCATTATTCATTTAATCTGCGCCACAAAATCCCACCCAGCTGATAATTCAACCTTTGATGTTGTGCGGTTTCACAGGTAACACGTTATATGAACTACCGTGGTGATCATGCAGTAGTTCTCTTTCCAGGCGCCACAGCAGCCGAAGAAGGAGATGAAGAAAATCACCACACCGACGATGATGATGAGGATGGGAATTCCCGAGGCCGTCGCGTCCTTGATGGTGAAGGTCTTGTGCAAACCCACCTGGACCAGGACTCCCACGACAATCAACGCTAAGCCGCATAACTGCAGAAAAGAGAGGGAGATTCAGTTTAGAAGAGAGTTTGTTGGATATTTTCTGCTCTTTTTTTATTCAATTTTATTTTATTTTTTTTTCATTTTTATGTCATACAAGTCTTTGGTTTGAGCCTGTAGTGGAAACTTTATCTGGCAGCACCGTGGAAGTAGAAATAAACCGTAGTAATGTGGGTTTTACAAGCAACCGAATGCCTAATTTTGAAATGTAACCACTTCTTAATACTAATGCTGGAATGTAAATACCACCGAATATGACTGACATTAATCTGAATTCATGTGGTTTGATTTTCCAGAGGGTCATTTTAAGTTTCTCCCTCTCAAAAAACCCGTCGTTGTTGTTTTAAGTTAAAAAACAAAAACAAATATAAATAATTGGCTCTGAATCTGGCTGATGGAAAGTGCCTGAGGTCGTATGAATGTCTGCTGTGCATGTGTTGTGGATGTGTCTCTCTCTCTCCGCTGTGTGAGTGTGGAGGTTGTTCCAGGGAGCTGATTGGTTCCAGCCTTCGAGCTTTAAAAGCTCCTGTGGGCTCTCTTCTCTCTTCTTCCAGCCAACATGTTTCTGTGTGATATGTAATAGATCTGCTAACTGATGTAACAGCCCAGGTTCAGT